GTCTGCACACAAAGGCTGAAATTTACCAGCAGCCAGCCCAGGGGCAGGTCAGAAAAAGTCCCCAAGTACTTCAAGATACGCCTCCAGCTTCCTTTGCCTGCCAGCTGCCTGATAGAATCAGTCACTGAAAGTTTCTGGCAGTATACAAGTTGCATGAGGAAGGTTCTCAGTGAGTCACCAGATAGGGTTGAGTGGGATTCACCAGACTCATATTGGTTCAAACTTGGTGTCAGTGCTGGGTCTGAGGTCACTCAGCAAATGTCCCTGTATACACCAAGTCTAGCTTTTGGGAGCCCACAGACCTTTCTGGTGGTGCAGGGTCTCAGGGAGTCATTGGGGTGAGGCCAGCAGAATTTATCTGGAACAAAAAGAGCAAGATTTGGCCATGTGAAGGCGGCGGGGTGGGGGGAGTTCTGCACCATTCCTGTTATGAAAGAAAAATGGCTCCTGTCCTAGAGCCAGACAACTCAGTCTGACCAAGATTCTGCCAGGAGCCCAATCTCAGCAGGCCGGGCCACAGAGAGTCAGGAGGGTAGGGCTAGTGGATCTCCCATGAAGGGCAGGATAGGATATATTTAGAAAGTAAGACCTCTAGAGCTCTATTTACAAATGTTTTTTTTTAATGTATAGGTTTAATAAAGTAAGCTATAACTCACAGGCATTTATTGGTCCACATACTTCTTTTTTATTTAATCCTCACCGGAATATATTTTTCCATTGATTTTTAAAGAAAGAGTAGAAGAGAGAGGGAAAGACAGAGACATAAACTGATGTGAGAGAAACACACATCCACTGGTTGCCTCCTGCACACTCCCTGACCAGGGCCCTGGCTGGGGAGGAGCCTGCAACCAAGATATGTGCCCTTGACTAGAATTGAACCCAGGACCCTTTGGTCTGCAGGCCAGTGCTCTATCTACTGAGCCAAACTGACCAGGACAATTCACATACTTTATATTGCAAAAATACTATAGCCTACTTTAAGATTGTTACAAGGAATTTCATTTTCCCCATTATTTATTTGATATGTATTACCCTCAAAACCTATGGCTTTAAAAAATTTATCTTTATTGTTTAAAGTATTATAGATGTCCTCTTTTTTTCCCATTGACCCCCCCCCCCACTCCCTTCTGCTCTCCAGGCCTTCACCCCATTATTGTCTGTGTCCATGAGTTATGCATATATGCATGCAAGTTCTTCCATTGATCTCTACCCTGCATGCCCTCCTCCCTGTCCCACCTCCTCCTCAGCTTCCATCTGAGGATCCTGTTGCATGCTTCCATGTCTCTGAATCTATTTTGTTTGTCAATTTATTTTGTTCATTAGATTCCACATTTGAGTGATATCGTGTGATACTTGTCTTTCTCTGGCTAACTTATTTCATTTAGCATAATACTCTCCACATCCCTCCATGCTGTATCAAGGGTAAGAGATCCCCTTTTTTTATAGCTACATAGTATTCCACGGTGTAAATGTACCACAGCTTTTTTTATCAAATCATCTATTGATGGGCACTTGGGCTGTTTCCAGATCTTAGCTATTATAAATTGGGCTGCTATGTACACAGGGGTACATATGTTCTTCCTGATTGATGTTCCAGGCTTCTTAGGATAGATTGCTGGAAGTGGGATCACTGCGTCCAATGGCAGTTCTATTTTTAATTTTTTTGAGGAAACTCCACACTGGTTTCCACAGTGGCTGTACCAGTCTGCATTCCCACCAGTAGTGTACTGGGGTCCCTTTTCCTCCATATCCTCGCCAGCACTTGTTGTTTGTTGATTGATTGATAGCAGCCATTCTGACAGGTGTGAGGTGGTACTTCATTGTCATTTTAATTTGCATTTCTCTGATGATTAGTGATGTTGAGCATTTTTCCATATGTCTCTTGGCCACCTGTATGTCGCTTTGGAGAAGTGTCTATTTAGGTCATCTGCCCAATGTTTGATTGGGTTGTTTGTTTTCCTTTTGTAGATTTGTATGAGTACATTATATATTTTGGATATTAACCCCTTATCAGATGTATCAAATTGGCAAATATGTTTTCCCATATAGTGTATTCCCTTTTCATTTTGATGCTGATTTTTGCGCAGAAGCTTTTTATTTTGACGTAGTTCCATTTGGTTATTTGTTTCTTTGTTTCTCTTGTGTTAGGCATTGTATCAGTGAAAAATTTGCTACATGAGATATCTGATACTTTGCTGCTTATGTTTTCTTCAAGGTTTTTTATGTTTTCATGACTTACATTTAAATCTTTTATCCATTTTGAGTTTATTCTTGTGTACAGTATAAGTTGGTGAAATCCAAAACCCATTTTTTATAAAAACTCTCAACAAAGTGGGAATAGAGGGATCATAGTTCAACATAATAAAGGACATATATGGCAAACCTACAGTCAACATCATACTTAATGGGCAAAAACTGAAACCATTTTCCCTAAAAACTGGAACAAGACAGGGTTGTCCACTTTCACCACTTTTATGCGACTTAGTACTGGGCATCCTAGCAACAGCAATCAGATTAGAAGAAAAATTAATAAAAGGCATTCAAATTTGAAAGGAGGTTGTAAAACTATCAGTATTCACAGACGACAAGATATTGTACCTAGAAAATCCTAAAGACTCCAATAAAAATAAATACTAGATTTAATAAAGGATTTTGGCAGTGTAACAGGATACAAAATTAACACCTAGAAATTGATGGCATTTTTATTCACCAATAATGAACTTTCAGAAAGAGAAACTAAAAAATAAGTCCATTTACCATTGCAACAAAAAATTAAGATGCTTAGGAATTAACTTAACCAAGGAGGTAAAAGGCCTATACTCAGAAAGCTATAGAACATTGAAAAAGGTAATCATCAACCCAAAGGTAATCTGTACTCATTTAAGTCACTTCTCTTTTCTCCCTTTGTTTATAGAAGAGGATATAAACAAGTGGAAAAATATGCCATATTCATGAATTGGTAAACCCACATAATTAAAATATCCATACTTCCCAAAGCAATATAAAGATTCTATGCAATCCCTATTAAAATACCAATGGCATACTTCACAGATCTAGAACAAACTGTCCAAAATGTATATGGAACCCAAAAAGACCCCAAATAGCTCAGAAATCCTGGGAAAGAAGAACAAAGTTGGAGGGATCACAAGGCCAGATATCAAGCTATACTACAAGGCCACTATACTCAAAACAGCCTGGTACTGGCATAAGAACAGGCATATAGATCAATAGAACAGAACAGAGAACCCAGAATTCTACCCAAGCCATTATGCTTAATTAATATTTGACAAAGGAGGCAATAGCATGCAATGGAGGCAAGACAACTCTTCAATAAATGGTTCTGGGATAATTGGACAGCTATATGTAAAACCTATGGCTTTTATCCTTTCCATTCCAGCTCTGAAATCACCAGATGTCCAATATTTCAAGTATTTTAGCTCATTTTAGATAAGGCTTCATAATTTACCTAAAACTTAGGTTGTTTTTTCTTTGTCTTTGGAAACCATATCCCATGTCATCTCAAATAGATGATAGATAGATGATAGATAGATAGATAGATAGATAGATAGATAGATAGATAGATAGATAGATGATAGATAATCAACTTCTATCAAAAAGAGAATAAGTTATAAAGATGAGACTTTTATTGTGCTAAAATACACAAAATATAAATTTTGCCATTAGTGACATTTAGTACATTAACAATATTGTGCAACCATCACCAATATATAATGAGAACATTTTCATCAACACAAAGGTAATCCGTACTCATTTAGCAGTCACTTATCTTTTCTCCTTCTCCAGGCTCCCACAAACACTCGTCTAGTTTCAGTCTCTATGGATAGTCTGAATATTTCACATAAAAATTCCCATAATAAGTGGCTTTTTGTGCCTGAATTCTTTCACTTAGCTTAATAGTCTTAATGTTCATCCATGTAATAATAGTACTTCATTCCTTTTTTAAAATATATTTTTATTGATTTCAGAGAGGAAGTGAGAGGGAGAGAGAGAGAGAAACATCAATGATGAGCGAGAGTCATTGGCTGCCTCCTGCACCCCCCCCCCCTATTGGGGGTTGAGCCCGCAACCCAGGCATGTGCCTTTGATTGGAATCAAACCCAGGACCCTTCAGTCCACAAGCCAACACTCTATCCACTGAGCCAAACTGACTACTGACTACGGCAGTACTTCATTCCTTTTTATGACTGAATAATATTCCATTCTATGTATATACCACATTTGGGTTTTCCATTCATCGGTTGACATTTATTTGGTTGGTTTTCGTCTTTTGACTATTGCGAATACTGCTACTATGAACAAAAGTGTTATGTACATGTTTTTGTGTGAGTACCTGCTTTTAGTGCTCTTGGATATATATTCAGGAGTGGAATTGCTGGCTCATGCGATAAATGAGATGAGATATTTTTAAGTGAAATCTTACCAAACTAATAAATATTCTCATTTGATGGGTAGGGGACATATTATTATTTCTTTTTTGTTATGCTAACAACTTCTCTGGACTCCTACACTTCTCTAGGAAATGTGGTATGGAAGTTTATACCAGGAGACTACCAGATGGCATCATTAACCTATACCTAACACAAGAAATAATCATTTTTTAATACAAAGGGTCCACTGATATAAAGGCAGTTAAAGGTCTCTAACTTTAGCAAGTGCACTGCAATGCAACTTCAGACAATGAAGGTTACAGGCAAGTAACCAAAGTGTTTCTATATAGATTTGGAGTCAGATATAACTTAATGAAATTACAAAACCTTGCCCTTGGGCCCCTCACTAAACTTCACTTTATTTCAGTTTCTCCATCTGTAAAATAGGAGTAATAAACACTGTTTTTCAAGATTTTTATGAGGAAATGGCATAACCTGGCATATAGTTGGCACTTAATAAATATTAGTTCTTATTTTTCTATATTTTCTTACACTCTTCAAATTAACTGATCTTCAAGACTACAATATTTTTTTTCTCATTTTTCCTTTCAGGTTAAAATTAAACTGCCAAATACAAACCCTTCTGAAATTAAAATTAATGTCCAGGAAATGATCCTCGACCTTCGTACTCCTGATAAGTAAGTAAAACTTAGAACTATAATAATTTATTATAATATGAATGAATCCTCAGTCAATATTTTTAAATGTACATAGCAATTTTGCATCATTCCTAAAGTCTGAAGAAAAGTTAAAAAGCTAGCTAATCATTCAGATCTTTACTCTACATAATATAGACATAACTATATTTGGAAATACCTATTTTTTTTTCTACCATGCATTTGTACATTTGGGGTAGGTTGGTATCACCAAAACAGTCTTTGATATTCAGATACAATCTGTTAGGAAAAATAGCTAGAGATGAAAATGCCTTAAGTTGTAAATCTTGCATGTGTTATGTGGTAATTTTTGTACAGTTATAGCATAAGAGAAGCAAAATCTTTAAACTTTTTGGATATGATGGGGGCTCTAAAATTAAATTTTATATACTCATTTAAAATCAATAAAAAAAAATTAAAAAAAAATTCTTACCAAAGGATATGTTTAGAGAGAGGAAGAGAGAGAGAGAGAGAGAGAGAGAGAGAGAGAGAGAGAGAGAGAGAGAGACATTGATCAGTAGCCTCCAATGCACACCCTCACCAGGGAATTGAACCCACAACCTTTTGGCGTACCAAATTACACTCCCACCAACTGAGAGCTACCTGGCCAAGGCAACACGACTTCTTGTCATCGAGTAATTAAAACAAAAATTCCAACAACTAATTTATCACTAGATACTCAAACTGTGTGAATACATTTAAAAATAATACAGGTGATAATGGGATGATTCAATTAAATACTTTGATATTTTCTTTTTGTTGTTTTTGTTCTTTTAAATATATTTGTCATTGTTGATCATTTACAGATATCCCCCATTTTCCTCCTCTTGCCCCCCTGATATTTTCAAAGATAGTCTTAGTATTACACATGTTCAAATCATGTTCCCAAAACTTAGTACCAACAGTAAAAATGATATAAAATGTTTATTCTGAGACCTGTATGAATCAGTCCTACTTCTCAAAACTAGCTCTATAAAGAAGGAGTCAATGGAACCTGGTGTGTGCTAGATAAAATGTCTAAATATCTCACTGCTTTGTTCACTTTTCATCTGGATGTGAGCACACTTTGGTTGATTGCAGTGGTTCTTTCACTATGACTCATCAGCATTTCAAATTGTGAATGAGGAGCAGTCAGCTTCTGGCATATTCTCTTCCTTCCATTATCAGTACTTATAATTCTCCTTTGCTGATCTTAGAGCTTCAAAAATATATAAAGTAGATCCCTCATACAAAGGACTTATATGTATAAACAACACAATGTACATACATAACTTAACCTTGATTTCTATGGCAAATGTAGATGCATTTAACACAAAATGATCTAGAGATGAATACATATCAAATATTTTCTCATTACTTATATAGTAATTTCAAACATGTATCCTCATGATCATCTCATGTTATAAAAATTACATTCATTATCCCCACCATTACTTCAGGGAGAATAGTAATTTTTTCATTGCGTATTATGCACACATTTATTCTGGCACCCAACCTTTCCAAGGAAAGTTAGTTAAATAGACAATCTTCCATGATATTTGCATGCTTGTTAAAAGCACACACACATCTGCACACCATTGATTTAATTTCCGTTCCCCTAGCAGTTCTTACTGTCTCCATCAATCTTTAGGCAGCTTCTCTGGCTATGCTGTCATTCCAGATATATATCAGAGACCACTAAATGAAAGACTCATATAGAGATACTTTTTCACATAGAATATGGGCTGCATTAGGTCATTTGGATCATGCTGTATTTATATAATAAACTAGAGGCCCAATGCACGAAGTTTGTGCAAGGGGCTTGGCCCCCATCACCGCTGCAGCTGCCTCAGCCCCTGCCACCACAGCAGCCACCTTTGTCTTGGCCTCCACCTGCCACAACTTCATCTGGAAGGTCATCCAGAAGGACATCTGGAAGGACGTCTAGTCTAATTAGCATATTACGCTTTTATTATTATAGATGATTAGTGCAGAAAGGTACTGTCTCATAAGGAAAAAAATCATTAAGGTAGAAGACAAAAGATAGAATTAAGGTTTTTATTTCTTTTCTTAAACACTAAAGTTTTCTTTGGAGCCATGCTATTATCTAAATTTGTATTAGTGGAAATGTGTCTTGTTTTATAGTTTATTTATATTCACATCTACTTTCTTTAGTTTCTGAGTTTGACACCCTGTAAAACTATGTTTACTTGCTTCAAGAAAGATATGAGAGGACATTCAGAATTGTTCATATATCTACTAGAGGCCCAGTGCATGATTAAATCGTGCATGTGTAGGATCCCCTACCCGTGGTCGGCAAACTGCGGCTCGTGAGCCACATGCGGCTCTTTGGCCCCTTGAGTGTGGCTCTTCCTAAGCCTTAGGAATACCCTAATTAAGTTAATAACAATGTACCTACCTATATAGTTTTAAGTTTAAAAAATTTGGCTCTCAAAAGAAATTTCAATCACCGTACTGTTGATATTTGGCTCTGTTGACTAATAACTTTGCCGACCACTGCGCCTAGCTTGCCATCAGGGCCATGTCCGCTGTCCTGCAATGCCTCACACGCTCTGTGGACACTGCTGGCGCTCTACCCCACGATACTTCACAAGCTCCACAGACGCTGCCAGTGCCCCACCTTGCAACGCCTCACATGCTCCGTGGACGCTGCGAGCACCCTGCCCCACGAAGCCTCGCACGCTCTGTGGATGCTGCCAGTGCCCTGTGATGCTTCACTGACACTGCCCGCATCTGGGGGGTGGGGGTAGGGGGGTAGGGGGAGGGCCCATGAAGTGCCCCAGCACCTCCTGGTGACCAGTTGTTTTGTTGTTCCACCATTACAGCATCACAACCACAGGCCTTTTATGATATACGTAAGGCAGAGAACAAGTGAATTCATTTTCACTGAATTGACTGCAAATATCTGTCAAATGATAATCAATTACATTGTAATTATTAATAATATCCAGATATTTAGCATTATAAAGGGTGTCCCAAAATTGACGCAAGAAGTACTTTTGATAGAAAACACAGGTTTATAATTAAAAACTGTAATTTTTTTATTGATTCATAAAGTGTACAGTATAGGGTTATGTATGGAATAACATATCAGGTAAATGGCCTCCACGGCTTTGCTGGCACATATGCACTCTTTTGTTGAAATTTTCCATGACTGAAATGCGGCTGCTCAGGCAATAACAGTTAATGGTGCTCACTATCGCGACATGATAATCCAGTTTTTTGTGCCTAAATTGCAAGATATGGATGCGGACAACATGTGGTTTCAACAAGACGGTGCCACATGCCATACAGCCCGAGAAACAATTCAATTACTGCATGAGTCATTTCCTGGTCGTGTAATTTCCCGTTTTGGTGATCAGAATTGGCCGCCCAGATCATGTGATTTAATGCCGTTGGACTTTTTTCTTTGTGGTTTTTTGAAGTCTAAGGTTTATGCCAACAAGCCCACAACCACCCACTCCTTGAAGGAGGAAATTGAGTGCCGTATCAACAAAATTCAGCCACATTTATGCAAAACGGTCATGGAAAACTTCAACAAAAGAGTGCATATGTGCCAGCAAAGCCGTGGAGGCCATTTACCTGATATGCTATTCCATACATAACCCTATACTGTATACTTTATGAATCAATAAAAAATTTACAATTTTTAATTATAAACCTGTGTTTTCTATCAAAATTACTTCTTGCGTGAATTTTGCGACACCCTTTACAACCAAAAGAAATAATGCAGTTTACTGAATTGTTCATTAAAAAAAACTGGTTGTTTTGGCATGTACATTCTCAACATGAAATAGATGGAAAGGAGTAAAGATAGGGGAATTGGATAATTTCCCAAAGTCTCCTGATTTTGTCTACATATGGGGTTTATTTATTTATTTATTTGTAATTTAAATTCTTTATTGTTTAAAGTATTACATGAGTCTCCTTTTCACCCGCTGACCTCTCCCCAGCCGCTCCCAACCCCCACCACATGTCCTCACCCCCCTACTGCCTGTGATTATTTGTTATGTTCATATGCATGCATACAAATCCTTTGGTTGATCTCTTACTCTCTCACCCCCCATCTTCCCTCATAGGTTGGACAGTCTGTTCGATTCTTCTATGTCTCTAGATCTATTTTTGTTCAGCCATTTATGTTGTTCATTATATTCCACAAATGAGTGAGATCATGTAATATTTATCTTTCTCTGACTGGCTTATTTCGCTTAGCATAATGCTCTGTAGTTCCATCATGCTGTTGCAAATAGTAAGAATTCTTTTATTTTTACAGCAGCATAGTATTCCATTGTGTAGATGTACCACAGTTTTCTAATCCACTCACTGATGATGGGCACTTAGGCTGTTTCCAAATCTTAGTTATTGTAAATTGTGCTGCTATGAACATAGGGGTACATATATTCTTTCTGATTGGTGTTTCTGTTTTCCTGGGATATATTCCTAGAAGTGGGATCACTGGGTCAAATGGGAGTTCCATTTTTAATTTTTTGAGGAAACTCCTACTATTCTCCACAGTGGCTTCACCAGTCTGCATTCCCACCAGTTTTTCATGAGTGTTCCTTTTTCTCTGCATCTTCACCTGCACTTGTCATTTGTTGATTTGTTGATGATAGCCATTCTGACAGGTGTGAGGTGATACCTCATTGTTGTTTTGATTTGCATCTCTCAAATGCTTCGTGAATTTGAGCATGTTTTCATATATATGTCTCTGGGCCTTCTGTATGTCCTCTTTCAAAAAGTGTCTATTTAGGTCCTTTGCCCATTTTTTAATTGGGTTGTTTATCTTTCTTTTGTTAAGTTGTATGAGTTCCCTGTAGATTTGGGAGATTAAACTGTTATTGGATGTAACATTGGCAAATATGTCCTCCCATGCAGTGGGCTCTCTTGTTTTGTTGATGGTTTCTTTTGCTGTGCTGAAACTTTTTATTTTGATGTAGTCCCATTTTTTTTTTTTATTTCTTCCTTAGTTTCCATTGTCCTAG